TGCCATAGTAAGCATCTAGTCGTTTCTCATATGGCTCTTTTTTCAGGCAAACTCAGTTTAACCTGATATCATTTTAGGTCTTCATCAGAATAAATTAATTACATGCCATTATCATTCCACTCCTTCTTGTGGTTTTTATATTGCTGTTGTCCAAAGGTACATGTGAAGTATTGGAAAATGAGTGGTTAAAAACAAAATTCTTTGGTAGGCGGTGATGTAGGAGTATATGAGCATAAACAGTATGCTGGTAGTTCTACGGTGTTATAATCATAATAACAGATATATTGAAAAAGAGTGTAGGTTGTTAGGCTATTGGTATGAGTTTAATCCCCTTCAGACCAGCACTTGAAATTTAACTCAATTTTTGAATGTGACCAGTTAAAACTATTCAAATCAGATATGCAAACAAAATACTTTTGACACAACATTTTAGCTGATTGGTAGTGCATATTAAAGGTACCTTATTTATCTCACATTTGCTGACTTCAACCGGTCGGATTTTCAGAATGATATCTCAACAATACATTATGTCTGACCAGAGACATGTAGTATAATAGTCAAATTCCTTATATTTATTCATTTGACAGATGATTTTATCGAACCTATCCAAGGAAGCAAACAGAAATCTTGTGGCAGGCTGTAGCTTTAAAAATTCTTACCACCTGATCTTCCTGAACTGTTACATTGCAGATGGCCATAAGAAAACCTTTCACATTATAATGTGCCTTGCATGAGTATTTACCCCATTGGACTTTACCACCTTTTTTAATGTTACAACTGAACTGAAACTGACTTAATTGGGATTTTTTTTACTATTTGTTTTACACAATATGTCTAACATTAAATGTGCAAAATATTTGTTATTGTGACACAAAGGTTAATTAAACAAACAAACAAAAAAAAGACATACAGACATTTGTTGGTTGTATATGTATTCAGTAAATAACTACAAGATGTGGAAAGGTTCGAGGAGGTGAATTCTTTATAGCATCAGCCAAAGAAACAGAATGCAGAATCTGAAAAAAGATGCAAACCTTTATCTGCAATATCTGCATAGATCAAGCTTGTTCTTCATAAGTATGAAAAATGCATTTTAACCAGGAACCAAATCAGACATTGTAACCCCACTGATAATCTGCATCTTCATAGAGGAATAAAATGATTTATTACATGCACACACACACACGCAATACAAATGTCTTAGGATTAATCTGATTAAGTAAAGAGCAGTATCTATTTTAGATGAAATAGGTACAGTGCACAGTAATGGCTTTGAAGGGATCTGTTCAGCATGAATGGTAAAGGTCATTGATTCAGTTTAAAGGCTGAAATGTCTTCTCAAGTATAAAGTGGCTAAACAAGAAAGGGAAAATTAGATTTTAGATGCAGTCGTATATCAGACATATCCACAGGGTATATTGGCAATCTGTATGCTTAGCCGAGGCGTGAACAGTGTACACAGAAGTGAGAAACAACTAATAATAATAATAATAGTAATAATAAACAATCTATGCTTGTTCACATGGTTCGTAAGACTTGTTCAAATTATATTCAACACACTATTTGAATTGAATGGATTCCTCCAGTGTGAGTTCAGCATTATGAAAAAGACGCTTATCAGGACATAGTTATAAGAAGGTGAGGTGAGAAGGCCTCATGGAGTGTGTGACAGAGCAAGAACGAGCCATCAAGCCCTGAAGCACCTCAGCTGAGCACCATTGCAAATGACAAGCCTTCCTGGGAACTTTTGTACATAAATTTCCATATTCATGTGACCTGTACACCTCTTATTTCTCTTCTACTCTTATCTGAATATCTATTCCATTTCCCAGTTGGCTCACTAACAGAGCTACATGATGAATAATTTAAAGAGGATGCAGGCCAAGCAGAAGCTTGACAGAAACTACAACTCATTAGAAAGGAGACATTTGATAAGACATACAGTCAGGTCCATAAATATTTGGACAGTGACACAATTTTCGTAATTTTTGCCTCTCTACATGGATTTGAAATGAAGCAATCAAGATGTGATTAAAGTGTAGACTTTCAGCTTTAACTCAAAGGATTTAACAAAAAACAGCGCATTAACTGTTACAGCCATTTTTTGCAGAGTACCTCCATTTTCACAGGTTAAAAAATAATTGAACAATTGACTGATAAGCAGTTTCATGGCCAGGTGTGGCCTATTTCCTCATTTTTTCATAACAGATTCAGGAGATAAAAGGTCTGGAGCTGATTCCAAGAATTGAATTTGCATTTGGTAGCTGTTCAAGGGAACTCTCAATATGCAGTCCAAAGAGGTGTTGATGCAAGTGAAGGAGGCCATCATTAGGATAAAAAAAACAGATCTTATCAGAGAGACAGCAGAAACTTTAGGGGTGGTCAAATCAACAATTTGGTACATTCTTAAAAAGAAATTCCTGCGAGCTCAGCAACACCAAAAGGGCTGGAAGACCACCGAAGCAGCTAGTGGATGAATGCAGAATTCTTTCCTTGTTGAAGAAAAATCCCTTCACAACATCTAGCCAAGTCAAGAACACTCTTCAGGAGGTAGGTGTATCATTGTCAAAGTCTACAATCAAGGGATGCCTTCATGAATGTAAACACAGATCGATTACCTCAAGATTCAAACCACTGGTAACACTCAAGAATAGAAAGGCCAGATAAAAACTCTAAAAAAGCCTGGCCAGTACTGAAACAAGATTAACTTGTACCAGAATGATGAGAAGAGAAGAGTATGGAGAAGGAAAGTAAGGGCTCAAGATCCAAAGCACATCATCTGTCAGACATGGTGGAGGCAGTGTTATGGCATGGGCAGGTATGGCTTCCAATGGAACTGGGTCACTGGTGTTTATTGATGATGCGACTGCTGATAGAATTAGCAGGATGAATTCTGAAGTGCATAGAGCTATATCTTCTGCTCAGATTTAGTCAAATGCTGCAAAACTGAAGGATGGCGCTTCACAGAGAAATGAAATGTTCTTAAATGTTTGATGACTTCAACCCAACTGACCATGCTTTTCACTTACTGAAGACAACATTGAAGGCAGAAAGACCCACAAACAAGCAGCAACTGAAGGCAGCTACAGTAAAGGCCTGGCAAAGCATCTCAGGAGAGGAAATATCCATGGGTTCCAAACTTCAGGCAGTCAGTGACCGCAAAGGATTTGCATCCAAGTTTTAAAAATAATTCTAATATTTATGATTATGCTAGCTTGTCCAATTAATTTTGAGCCTATGAAAATGGAGGGACAAAAAATGTCCGTTAATGCCATATTTTTGTTAAACCCCTTGAATTAAAGCTGAAAATCTATACTTCAATCACATTCAAATCCATTGTGGTGGTGTACAGAGGCAAAATTACGAAAAATTGTGCTATTGTCCAAATACTTATGGACCTGAGTGTAGGTGCTCTGCCAATGACATCTATTGCGTGTGCAGAAACTGTAAAACAGGACATATATCTGTGCATTTAATTTGATGCTAGCATGCTATTAACCATTTAATTATTTTAAATGACCATTATTTATTAAATGAGGGCTGATAAATCTTACTAAATTTGCAGATTAGACATGTAAGTAATTGGAAGTGAATTAATCAGACATTTAAGAAGATAATTAGAAGAGACACAAGCCTGATCATTGCAAATGGATTTAAACAGTCTAATGTAGTATTTCACTCTTCATGTATCACTCTTCAGCTAGACATTTCCCCTCTGTATCTTCATTCTTAAAAATAAAGGTCCCCAAGAAGAATGATGCCACAAACAAACTATTTTTGTTTCCTAAAGAACCTTTTTAGTCATTTTTTGTTTGTGTCACAGAGAACTAAAATTATACCAACATAAATGTTCCCATAATATGTAAGGATCTTTATGGTAGAAACATATTATTCCATTTATTGTGGAAATAACAAAAATGACTACAAATTCAGGAAAGAAAAGGAATAAAAAATGGCCCTATAGGGAACCAAAAGTGTTTTTCTATGCCATTACTCTAAAGAACCTTTTCTGACTCCTTCATTCTTAATAGTGTAATGTGAAATAAGAAGCATATGTACATAATACAAAAAGAAGCATGTCATAATAAAGTCACATCAATGTCATATCAATTCCTTGCTAAATTGGCATATTTAAACACATATGAACACACTCATTTGATTAACAGAGAATGCATCAATGATGCCCAAGTGATTAGCAAAGCAATCCAACACTTCTGAATTCCCTGCAGGTTGCTTGCCTTTCACTTACCTACTAAACAAATAACTCCCACATCATCAAGACTCCTGAAGACTGTTTACATTCCAGTTATAGAGCTACAAAATACAAGCATGATCGTTATGCCAGGGAGGTATGTTGGAGCTCTGCAATTAATAAACCACACACTGATGATACATGGCACCTGCTGAGTGCACATCCTCATGATCTGCTTAGTGTTTCAGCCAGAAACAAAGACAGGAAGCAAATATTGTTATTGGATTGCTATTGGTGATTGATGGCTCTGTACCAGCCAATTCACTTCATGTGAATGGCTTTAAATGAAGCTCACATTTTGGCATAGTTTGAACTGAGTCATTCTTCAGACAACTGAACTGACCAGAATAGCAAAAAACATTGCCTGAATTTTTATTAGGAAATCATGGGAAAAAATAAACTATCACAGCAAAAGGGATAGAGTGATACATTCTATGGTGATGTTTCTCACTGGGAGAGCAATTTTCGGTATGCTATCTCCGCTAACATCTAGGAGACAGCAAGCCCTATGAATCCAAACTATATAAAACTATTATATCTAGCTGTTGTGAGCCCAAACCTCCATACAGACTTATTGTTGTTCTTCTTATTTTGGCTGCTCCCGATAGGAGTCATTGGTCTACACATTTAATTTTGAACAATTTTTACAATGCATGCCCTTCCTGATGCAACCCTCCCCAGTTTTATCCGGGCTTGGGACTGGCACTGGGAGTGCTCTGTCTTGTGCAACCCCAGTTGCTCGGTTTGGTTCCCTAGCCAGGAATTGATCCCAGGCCCGGCGCTGAGAGCTCTGTGGCCTACCACTAGTCCTCCAGGGACCCCCAAACCTCCATATAGACTAATATTTTCAATTTGCCTTTCAGACAAGCTTCAAACTAAATCACTTTATAACATTGTATGAGTAAAGAAATAAAGCCTTTGTCTGAATTCTGACCATGTGCTTTTAACTGTGGGACAAATTTCATAGAGAAATTAATCTCCCTAGCTGGAACTTCACTGAATCTTGTTGCACTTTGAAATGATCTGTTTGATTTATCAGCTTAGCCCTGGTGCAAACATTTTAAAAAAATCTAAAAAAAAAAAAAAAAACTGGAATGCATAGCTTGGCAACTATCTACAGTACAGTGCAAAAGTCTTAGGCACCCTATTTGTTTTAGTACAAACTTTGTTATATTTTTATTTTATGACTTCTACATTATTGATTCAGTACAAAAACATTTTAGATTTCCAAACATTAGTTTTGCAGCACAAAATTAAATGTTACAGAAAAATGTTTGTATGGCAGTAAAGAAAGCAGGATATTACATAAGAGACACTTTTCAGACAAAAAAAACAGAATGAAGGCTGCTGGGTTTCGCTGCAGAAATAAGAAGCGAGCGTGAAAGTCAAAGTCTCCAGAAGAACTGCGGCTGCTTCTGCAAGATGCTCAGCAACACTTACAGCTCATTTCCTTATCAAACTGCACACACTGCACCTGAGACACTGTTTATTTTAAAAGCGAATGATCGTCACACCAAATATTGACTTTGTTTCATTTATTACTGTTTACTGCTTTTTATGGTATTTTTTAATGTAGAAACCTTTAGTTTCTTTATTTTTGAAGTCATCTTTGCTCTGCAGTATTTCTTTGCATGTGCCTAAGACTTTTTCACAGTACTGTTCATAAGAGCAATAACAGAAGTTACATAAGTGTGCATAAATATTAATAGCAGTATAAAATATTGGTTTGTAATAAAAGTCTACCTGTCTATGGCCCGTATAGAAATCTAACTGCAAGTTTAATCGAATATCATCATGCTTTATTAGCAGGGTTTCATCGTTTATGAATCTCTTTCACCACATTTACAACCACCCCTAAATAGTTGATAAATTCATGTCTCATTAGATGCCATTAATATAATGTTTGGCCTTAGATGCTTTTTTGCTTGCAGGCTGTGAATTCCAGACCGGTTTCTGCAGCTGACACAAGGATTAATCGTTTTTCTATTAGTCTCAGTAGATTCACCAAACGGACTTGAGATGTAACTGAGCTCGGGAAATGGGATATAAATGGGGCAAAAAAGATGAGACAAATTAGGGCATGACAAAACTGTTTTGGCAATTAGTTGTTGTCTGGGAGAACAGAATATTACAGGATCATTTCCATACTGACTGAAGCAAGAAATGTGTAGTACAGTGTACTTCTGTCACAACAAACATTATATAAGTAATATTTGTAAGGACTCTGGGAGATGAGATAGGATATACTGTTTTCTAATATGATATATTGTGGTCTAATATGATTTTTTTTAAAAAAGTAAATAAATGTATGCAATACATTTTTGGGTGAACAGGGCTGTACAGTATGTATGCACACACACTGATCTTTGACTTTGCTGTTATAACAACATTACCATCTTAACTGTGGCTTGTAGTGTAACATTGGCATCTGAATAAATGCCCTATGGTACTCCTCTCATGCAATGAATAAGAATGAGAAAATATGCCCATTGCTTCACTTAAAGACCATTTGGTTTTCAGCAACCACGCAGCAGCAAGTCAGAATCTAATTCTGTTAGGTGTATAACCATAAACATGGCTGCACTGACCAAGATAACATGGTTGATTATGGGTTAATTATGATTTGTTGGTGGGGATAGCGATGTAGCCAGAATGGAAATTTGAAAATGCTTTCAGTTTTAAGTGTCTAAATGCAGTCAGTTGTCCAGAAAGCTAATTTCTTAATAATCTATAGCAGATTCAATATTTAAATGACTTCACACACCTGCACAACTCCCATAAGATTATTTCTGATGCCAACTGCATGAAAGGGGGGTATACAAGATATGTTGTGGTATATGGATAAAGCTATAGACTGTGATATCTGGAATTATGAAACATTGCAATGTTAACATTATATACCGATATGGATACTTACACTATATGGCCAAAAGTTTGTGGACACCTTGCCATCCCACCCATATGTATTTTTTGAACATCTCATTCCAGATTTATTCCCCCTTTGCTGTTATAATAACCTCCACTCTTCTGGGAAGGCTTTCCTCTGGATTTTGGAGTGTGGCTATGTGGATTTGCCCATTCAGTCACAAGAGCATCCCAAAGGGGTTGAAGTCAGAGCTCTGTGCATGCCAGTTGAGTTCTTCCACTCCAAGCTTACATTTACATTACATTTACGGCAATTGGCAGATGCCTTTATCGAGAGTGACTTACAAAGTGCTTTGAATCTAGATCATCTATTAAGAATACCATCACCATCATTACCAGTTGAAAAACTCTGTTGTGGAGGTAATATAGTAAAAATGCACATAGATAACACTTTTTTTCTTTTTTACATTGTTAATTTAAGTACTTCCGGAAGATGTATATCTTTAGACATTGTTTAAAGACTACCAGTGACTTAGCTGTTCAGGCATCTAGGGGAAGTTCATTCCACCACCTAGGTGCCAGAACAGTCTTGATGCATGCCTTCCTTGTACCCTTAGAGATGGTCTGACCAGCCAAGCAGTGCGAAAGAGAGCATGGTGCAGTGTGGGGTGTGATAAGTGCCTTGAGGTAAGTGGGTGCTGGTCCGTTTTTGGCTTTGTAGGCAAGCATCAGTGTTTTAAATCTGATGTGGGCAGCTACAGGAAGCCAGTGAAGGGAGCGTAGCAATGGGGTGGTGTGGGAGAACTTAGGAAGGTTGAAAACAATTTGTGCAGCTGCAAGGATGTGTTGAGTGTCATCCACATAGCAGTGGTATGAAAACCCATGTGAAGATATGACCTCAGCAAGAGATCTGTCCCTTTAAGGGGATAAGCGAACCCAAACCATGCCACAACAGAGACATGTCTGTTTTTCTTTTTGTAACCTGCCCGTAGGTCTTTGGACAATCCATGAGTATCTGGAAACGATGTCACTCTCCCAAGAGCTGACAGAAGTTAGTATGCCAATATTTAGGTTTTTGACAGGAGTTGTCTAAGCTGCCAAGCCCATTGCCTGAGGAGGCTGTTCATTTCAGAATTAAATAGCTAGAATGAGCTCAGCTGCTTTCGTCCCGCAGTTGATCAATCCAATTCACAAGTATTCCCCCTGTTGACACAGGATTGTGTTGACAAATGATGAAGAGTGATTAGATGTAGGCTATATGGGGTGGTTAGGGTGCTTATTTATGGAGATCTATATATTATACCCTCTAGACTAGTTATTTCCTTAATACATTATGACAGTGAGAGAATATATATATATATATATATATATATATAGAGAGAGAGAGAAATGACTTGAAATGACAGCCAGGGTATTGACAAAGCCATAGGGTTTTGGCTGATACTTGTAATGACACATGGTTCTGGAAAAGGCAGACTTCCATTTGCTCCACTTCTTGTCTGTATTAAGGTACAGCAAGATGTAGATTGGGGATAGATACACCAGGGTTGATTAGAAACAACCCTAGAAAATATTGCGTCATTCATTGGCTGGGGCAGAATCTTATCATGCTGTTAAGATCAACCCAATTTAACATCAACCCACACACTACACCACTTATATAGATTTACACTGTGTGCACAATTATTAGGCAAGTGAGTATTTTGACCATATCATCATTTTATCCATAATTTCCAACTCCAAGCTGTATAAACTTGAATGCTTATTGGAATTAATGCATATCAGGTGATAGTATTTGTTTGTAGGGTGTGGCCTAAGGAGATCAACACCCTATATCAGGGTGTGCATAATTATTAGGCAGATTCTTCTCCTCAGGAAAAATGGGCCAAAAAAGAGATTTAACTGACTCTGAAAAGTCAAAAATTGTAAAAAGTCTTTCACAGGGATGCAGCACTCTTGAAATATCTAAGATATTGGGGCGTGATCACAGAACCATCAAACGTTTTGTAGCAAATAGTCAACAGGGTCGCAAGAAACGTGTCGAGAAGAAAAGATGCAAGTTAACCACCAAAGATTTGAGAAGAATCAAACATGAAGCTACCAGGAACCCATTATCCTCCAGTGCTGCCATATTCCACAACTGCAACCTACCTGGAGTGTCAAGAAGTATGAGGTGTTCAGTTCTCAGAGACATGTCCAAGCTAAGAAAAGCTGAAACCTGACCACCTCTGAACAAGACACATAAGTTGAAACGTCAAGAATGGGCCAAGAAATATCTGAAGACAGATTTTTCGAAGATTTTGTGGACTAATGAGATGAGAGTGACTCTTGACGGACCAGATGGATGGGCCCGTGGTTGGATCAGTAACGGACACAGAGCTCCGCTTCGACTCAGACGCCAGCAAGGTGGAGGTGGGGTACTGGTATGGGCAGGTTTTATTAAAGATGAACTAGTTGGACCTTTTCGGGTTGAAAATGGACTCAAAATCAACTCTCAGACCTACTGCCAATTTTTAGAAAACACTTTCTTCAAGCAGTGGTACAGGAAAAAGTCTGCATCTTTCAAGAAGACTTTGATTTTTATGCAAGACAACGCTCCATCACATGCATCAAAGTACTCCACTGCGTGGCTGGCCAGTAAAGGCCTTAAAGATGAAAAACTAATGATATGGCCCCCTTCTTCACCTGACTTAAACCCTATTGAGAACTTTTTCTTAAGCAGGAAATTTATAGTGAACAGTACACCTCTCTGAACAGTGTCTGGGAGGCTGTGGTTGTGGCTGCACAAAAAGTTGATTCTGAGCAGATCAAGAAACTGACTGACTCTGTGAATGGAAGGCTTGTGACTGTTATTGAAAAGAAGGGTGGCTATATTGGTCACTGAGGTTTTCTTTTTGAAATTTCAGAAATGTTTATTTGTAAATTTTGAGTTTGTTCATTATTCTCACTTTGA